ATTTTCTATTTAATACCGGAGGATCGCTTGTGGTTGCTTTGAACATAATTTAACTTCCCTAATTAGTTTAGAGGCATACGTGACTAGCGAGCCTTATATAAGGCGTTGTTAGTTGTTGAACTGACTTAAGCAAAGTTTAACGGATCCCTCTTTAGGGAACGAAATTGCCTATCAGTTATTCAACTATTGATGGAGACTGTCACAAATATATATGGCACCCGTCGAATGCATATGGTATTATTTCGAAGTGTCAATAAGCAGTCGCCCAGATCGGATAGGAAATTCATTGTCCATATTTGAATGAACCTGTATCTTAGGGCTGTTACTGACTAGGTGAGTTGATAACTCAGCCATCTACGAGCACAAACAGGAAAGTAAATGCTTCGTAATAAAATGATGAATGAGGATTTTACCTGAGTGAACCTGGTAAAATCTCACCTAATTTCCCAGCCTGATAGTTTTCTAGCCAGTCCCAACGCCAGGTAAAGAAGGAGAGTTGGGTATGCGGCCACCGACCCTACATCACAAAACCGTTCAAACTGCTACAGAAACTTCAATGCACCAGAGTATATTAATATTGAAAAACATTTAAAAAAAATTATTCTTTGCTGGAATCGGAGAGGCGAAATGACGCGGGTGGGAAACCAGTCAGCCGACCAGTGTGTTTTTTCTCTACGAAAGCAAGAATAAGAGTGGTGACGTGGGATGTACTTACAACGTACGAGACTAACAAGGCTGCGCAGGTAGCTAAAGAAGTGTGAAGATATGGCTTAGAAGTGTCGGGTATCTGCGAGAGCAGATGGAATGGATGTGGACTATCAGAATTGTCAACTGGAGATTAGGAAGTTTACTCTAGTCACCCAGGCGACAACTACTAGCGCACTGAGGCATTGAGTGGCCATCATGATATCACCAGTGGAACCCAAAGCCCTAATGCAGTGAGAAACAGTTGCATCCAGGATCATGACAACAAGATACAACTCCATAAGGAGAAAGGTAACAATCATCCAATGACACTCACAATGCTACGAACAATGCAGAACAAGAGGAGGGTTTTTACAGATAACTACAAACAGTAATGCACAATATCGCCAATGTTGACATCAAATCCTTATGGGCGATATGAATGCCAAACTGGGAGCGGATAATACAGGAAGATAAATCATCATGGGTAGAGAGGCTCTGACTTCGAGAAACGAATGAGAATGTGATTAGAGAAGGCTTGTATAGGCACAAGGATACACAAGGGAACATGGATTTCGCCTGATGGACACAGCACAAACCAGATAGATATCATCTCAGTATTACTCAATAAAGTGGAGACGCAGCCAGTCTGCTTGACACAAAGTCGAGAAGGTGAGCAGATGTGAGCTCAGACCACCATCTAGTTCAAGAAACCCTTAAGGTGAATCTGGAATCCATGAAAACAATTGGAGACAGGCTACTATAATTCAAGTTCAATATTCAAAAACTGAAGGACAAAACTACAAGGGATGCTTTCACTACAGATATCAGGCGAAGTCGGATACGCTTCGTGTTTTCAACGAGGAAGCCTGCGTGGAAGGACATTGGAACTAACCCGCTGGAGATGATTTTCAAGGGAACGCGTACAACTGTTCTGGGAAGAAGGAAGAGACAAGACAAGGAATGACTCTCGATGGATATCTGGAAGCTAATAGAAAATAAAAACATGAATAAGAAAATTTATTCTCATGCAGTACATGAGGGACGCCAGTTTACAGGCATCATCAAATTGTTACAGAAATAGGACCATATTATTCAGTCACAATTTACAATCGATAGCAAAATATGTTTAACATTTACACTGGAGATTATACATACACTTGATAAATGTTAATCCCAGTAGTATAAAAGATCCTTTTCACTTATGTACAATCATTTATGTGCATAGTTGGAAAAATCCGCTAGATTGTCAGTGAGTGCAACACATGAGGAATTAAAGAAGTATTGTCTTCGCATTAACAAAAAAACCAGGTCTTTGGTGGATGGGTTATAAGTGCCTGGGAAAAAAATAAAGCTTGAAGTCAGTTTTCATACATAATTTTGTTGTGTACAGAATCCTTGATTTATAGTTCATTGATGTGTTATTTAGAAATCAGTGATTTGTTTATCTCATTTGATCTGCAATGTCATTGTTGGGAGTACAATACATAAGCTTTAGACGCATTAATTAATGGATTTCTACTGCTTGTGGGTATTTACTTCTCGTGAGGAAGGTTTCTGAATTTTAGTTGTTCCGACAGGAGTTGTGGATATTGACTGCTCAGCAACATTACGGATATAAGTTCATCACATTATCTCAGGAATGTTGGGTTGTAGTTGGTGAGGCATATATGATGTCCGACGAGCGTACATCTGTCCATGTGATGTTGTGGTGAGTTATATCTTCTTCATGTTGTCGGTTTATGTCCATTTTATTCCACTTATTGTGTTGGGTAGAAGTTTTACAAACGAAACTTCTTGTCTGTTTGAGGGTAAGTATCTTAATCGATAATGTTTTATCTAAAATTATAAATATAGGCAAAAACAACAGGTGTAGTATTTGAGCTTATACATTAAATGGACCTATAATTTCGGAGGCTCTCAGATAGGAACTAGGACTACTGTCGTTTGCAAACTCGTGTAGTTTGTCGTTAAGCACTTTTTTGAATGAGGCCAATGTACCTGCTTGACGCATTTCCATTGGTAGTTTATTCCATATCTGTGCATACCTAATCAAATAAAACTTTTGCCTGGTAGCTGTTTTACATTGTTCGATAGCTACTGTACCCTTAGTGTGTCTTAGTTTGTAGCCACTGTCATCTGAAAGTCGAATGCCATTAGTAGAGGTAAAAACTAAGTGGTTTAGAAGCTTATAGTAAAGTGTTAAGTTTAGTCTCAGGCGTAGGAGGATGATGAATGAGAAGATGACTCAATGCAGAGATGAGCAACAGAAGGACAAGCTGAGCTCAGTGTGCACTGCACTGAACAAAGATGTGAAGAAGAGTACTAGAAAAGACAAACGACAATTCTACAACACGACTGCATGCAACAGAATCAGGGCATGCCGCAGGCTAAATAGACATGAGGACACTATAACAGATAACCAAGTCTGTATCCGGGAAGAGAGCAACCTAGATTATGAAACCAATAAAAGATACTCATGGGAACCTGATCACCGAGGAGGAGAAACAAATGAAACAATGAATGAACTGATCATTCTAGAGGACTTCTGAGTCGACCACCACCGACAACTTGCCTAGGAATGCCACCAACAGCGTAGACGGAAATGCCAGTGGGCACCACTCCTCCAACGAAAAAAGAATCCTGAATGCGATCAAGCTAATGAAGTCCCGCCGGGAAGGTGGCAGGAGTAAATGGCATTACTCCCGAGGCACTGAAGACGGCCTCAGAGATTACGGAAGATGCTCTTACATTATTACTGTAAAAAGTTTGGAAAGAAGGGCTGGCTACCTCGTCAAACTGCCGAAGAAGGGTGATTTACGTCTGTCTGTACAAGAACTGGCGTGGAGTAATGCTCTTGTCCACGCCAAGTGAAACACTAAGTAGCATCATCCTGGAGAGACTAGAGGATGCACTGGATGCAGAAATCCACCCCCACCGCCTAGAAAAGCCTAAATCAGGAAAGGCGAATCATGAGTTGGTCAAATTGCAACTCTATGCCTCGCCATCACAGAACAAAACACAGAATGGCAGTCAAAACTCCACCTTAACTTAATCGAGGTTCTTCAACAGCCAGAGTTCCCAGCGAAGTAATTTGGGAACTGCTTCGGCACTTCAGCAGCTAAGCGGCAGTGCCACGTGTCAGGTGATCTACAAAGAGAAACTCCGTGAGGCTTTCGAAGTGCGTACAGGAGTAAGACAAGGCTGCCTGTTGTCACCCCCGATGATATTCTTAATTGTGGTGGACTGTATTATGCGTCAGACTGCTTGGAGAGTGAGAAGGCAGGAATACGTTGCAATGACCGATAGAAAGACTCTAGAAGATATGAATTGTCGAGAACAATGTATGTTCAATGTCACACAAACCCGGATACCTACAGGCGAAACCCAATAAACTTACTGAAGGAGCTGACAGCGAAGACACGACTCCAGGTGCATGTACAGAGGACAGAGGAGATGAAGATGACCAATCAACAGCGACACCAGTAACAACAACCCTCACAAATCACCATGAACTGGAGAGATTGGACAGAGGATAATTACTTTACTTATCCAACAGGGAAACCCGGTTTCAAACACAGGCGGATGGCACGGATGAAGGTGTCAAAGCCAGGTAGAATTGGAAAGTCAGAATACGTCTTCATCAACCCGTTACCAGATTGGAAATCTTCTGCACTCAGGACAAACAACAAGATTTGTTCGGATTTCAAAAAATGTGGAGACAGTCAGTCCTACTACATAGATCAGAAACTTGACACGCCTGTCACGAAGAGGATTTCCAACAGATTAGTGCAGACTTTACCAACAGCTGCCGCCTTAGCTGGCTGTCTCCGTACTGAAGATCAGATGGCCAAAAAAAGTAACAAGAAACCCTGGGAGCAAGCCAACCGAGAACTGATCGCTCAACAAATATATGAGAGAAAATGGAAATGGACGGAGCATACGTTGAGTAGACCGTCACATGACATCGTGCTCAGTGTAGGACATGTCTCGAGGGGAATCCCGATGGAAGGCGACAAGTAGGTCCTCAGTGGGAGGATGACATGAACGAAATTGTATAGGGGTTAGGAGATAAGAGATTACGGGTAATTGTGGGCCCAGCTAAAGAGGGCAGCAGAGAATAGAACAAAATTGAGATGTATTGTTAAATTCCTTTGTTCCACTAGAAACCAACGGAATAATAATAATAAACCCAGTAAACCAAATTCAGAAAAAAGCGGAACTAAATACATTTTTATTGATTTTCACATCACTGGTTATTGAATGTCATCAGAATTCATGTTCTTCAGTTGCATTTGTTTATACTCTCTAAAATTCTATGCGCTAACTCGGCGCCTAGATCAGTGTTTTTTCGTAAGGTATTTAAGTTTCTGCTCTCTTTGTTCAAATATTATAGTCAATGAAGTTCATTGTTCTTTATTCGTCTTATTTTAATTGTAATGTGTCTTATTCAATCCACTCTATGACTTCATATGTAATGCTTAACGTTGTTTGATATTGGCCACCTAAATATTTAGGTTTGACTCAATTCGATTATAAATTTCAATTAATTGAGAGTGGTATGCCTCATATCACTTAGCCTTTATTTTCCGATGGCTCTCTTTATGCATGACCTAACGAATCTATCAAATAAAAATAGTGAAAAGTTATATTATATATATATATATATATATATATATATATAGAAATGTCAAGAACAGAATTGGTGAACTGTTAAATGTTTGCAGTGTGTTTTAATCCCCTAACACTCGCATGTTTATATACATGGAAAAGTAAATTGCAGGGTACTCAATCATTGTTGACACTGTTTTGTTTCCTTTTTGTGTGTTTAAGGATAAGCAGGTTTCTCTGCTTAGTTCATACTTTGTTTAGTGTACGACTAAGAATCACAATTAACTTTAATCAACTGTTTATTATGCATATGCTTTTCTGAAATAAATGAACTAAGTAAACGGACTTTCATTGCCAATTTTTTACTTTCGAATATTATCTGATCAGTGTATGCATATTAACTGATTAAATGCATATAACTCGTCAAAACATTACTTAGATTACATATACCCGTAATTCAGTTGACTAAAGGAATTCACTGTAATCATATCTTTTTTTTGAAGTTGAGAAATCCTGGCTATAGTGACATGCAATATTTAAATTTGAATAAAATAGTGAAATTTTTGGATGGTTTAGGTAATAAAAAAAAGTGGTCCTAAGAAAAGTCTTCCGTTCAAAGTATCTAGTGAAATATGAAGTGTTTGATATTTGCCAGAGATTAGTTAAGTATTGCTAACAGGTAAAGTTTTACTCTGAATTAAGGTTATGAAGACAGGGTGTTATGGTGAGTTTTCAGGAGATTGATACTATAGTAATCGGCAGGTATGTTAATTAAGGTAAAACAAGTATTTTTGGGTGACAGTCAATAATGACGTGTAAATCAGAATTAAAATATAGAAATTGTGTTAAATATTCGCTAAGTCGAAATTCCGTATACTGTTTCGATGTGTTCCTCACGTTTTTCGTTTTATAGTCGATTTATATAGTAACTGATGTATCCTGTGTATCACGGGCATAAGTGGCAGCCTTCGCCCTTTGTTAGACAAGCGATATGAGTTCTAGCCTCAGGTATTAAATGAATTTTTCAAGTGTGCAACAATGCCTTGTTGATGTGTTTTACCATTAATGGAAAACGTCGTTGTGTTAAGTGTTTCCTGTCGGTTGATTCATACCATGCTGCATAAAGATGAAAGTATGCAATGGTATTTTTTCACATTACCAGGGGGTACATTACTAAGTCGATGGATAGATTTCAATGAGTATTTATGATGTCTAACATGTAAATGCCACATTTTTCGTAACTCTAACTTGCTGCTGTTTAATTCATAGTACATTGCCAACAGCATTGCCAAAAATAATACTTTATGTTGTCTGACTACTTCATTCTTTTGAGGGTTTGATGTGCACATTTGTTACGGCTTTCCCAATGGTCGGTATTGATGAATCTTCCTATGTGATTAGGATTGTCGAAACTGATTCAATTTTAAAACGGAATCATAGTGTTTTAACTTATCCTAATAATATTCACAAAGTCCTTACTTTGAATTTATGTTCCTTAAAGCTAAGTTTTTAAAGTTATATTTGAATTTCCTTGATACAAAAATGATTGAATTAGCCAAATCTAAATAGGGAGAAATATACTCGTTTATTATGTAGATTCTATCCAGTTTTATTCACCTGTGAAACTGTATACTGGTTAAATAAAGTCGCTTTTAGTTAAAAGCAACATTATGCAGAAATTTGATGACATCAAGTTAGAAGTTTGTTACGCAGAACAGAACCAAGCTATGTAGAGTAAATTATATGGGGTGTTATTCGAATTCACGACTGTCTGGCTTAGAGTCAACTGTTAATGAGCCATATTTTGCTACATAATGTAATTTAATCGAATTCCAAGTTTTTTTTAAAGGATTGTCTCTTTAAAAGCTAACAGCCAAAAATTGCGCTTTTAACACTTTCATTTATCACCGATGATAATCTTAATTGTGGTGGACTGGATTATGCGTCAGACAGGGGGAAACGAGGAGACAGGGATATCCTGGACCGACCGATATGAAGAACCTAGGAGACCTGGATTTCGCGCGTGGATGATTTATGTTTGATGTCACACAAAATCGAAGACTTACAAGCGAAAACCGACAAACTGGTCGAAGAAGCAGCTGGCGAAGATAAGACTCCGGGTGACAAGACGGAGGTTATGAAAATAACCAACAACAACAAAAACAGAAAAATCCAGCGCCAATCACCATCAACGGGGGGATTTGAAAGAGGTTACTTCATTCACTTCACTTATCTAGGGAGCATTGTCTCAACTACAGGAGGAACGGACGAGGATGTCAAATCGAGTGAGAATCGGGAAGGCGAGAAACACACCAACATCATCAACCTGAAACCAATCTGGAAATCTTCGTCACTCAGCATCGACAACAAAATTCGGTCGGATTTTCAATACAGATGTCAGACAGTTCTCCTATACGGATCACAAACTTGGCGGGCGGGTCACAAAGAATATTTCCAACAGCCTATTGCAGACCTTTATCAACAACTGTCTTCGCTGGCTCTATACTGAAGATCAGATGGCCGGAAAGAATCACCAACAAGAAACTATGGGAACAAACAAAGCAAGAACCAATCGCCAACCAACAAATATGCAGAAGAAAGTGGAGATGGATCGGACACTCGCTGAGGACACCGCTGGGTGACATAGCGCGCGCATCCAGCGATAGCTCGAGTGGAACCAGGCCGAAAGGGAAGCGGCGTGTGGGACGTCCAAGGGTGACATGGAGGAGATCGTGTGAAGAGAGAGGAGTTGAAAGAGTATGGAGTAAAATTGATGGATGCAGGTGAAAAGTACAGCAGCAGAAGACAGAAGTGGCAAACGGAGACTTGCAGTTGAAGCCCTATATTGCACTAGGAACCCAAGGGAGTAATAATAATAATAATTGGATCAACTGACAGGGTTATTTCAACCTACAGAGCTTGTTCAACCTGATTGAGTTTGTAGGCTTGAATGCTACCCTAATTCCTGCTTTATTTAGAATCCTACGTAGGGTTTCAGATGGTAAGGTAGATGTTTTATATTCTTTCTCATATATGTTATCATTATTAGTTTCGCTATTACGCAACACAAATATCAGAGATAATGGAAGATGGTATTGTCAGTCAAATCAGAAGAGGATAATAAATAATCTCAAAATTCTATTTCAGTTCACATACATCACAACATTCTAACAAGTTACTTATTATGACTATAAAAACACTCGTCTTATTTTCCATCCGATTGTATTAGACTGATAACACTCGTATTATTATTTCCGAATGCACTTTATCTTATATTATTGATTTTCATCATGAGCTGACATCCCGGTGGGTGCGTACTGCTGAAGAGTCCCAAACTAGGACGAAACAGCTGTCCAGTACTCCCAGGTTTTCCAATGGTTCTCTAACTAATGTCAGCTCATGATGAAATCCTGAAACCAATCAAATCCCTACAAACCAACACTTGAATTATTGATTTTATTCAAATGTCTAAACATCGATTTTTACTCATGTATATGAATGAAGCAAGAAAGTTGTGTGAGCGCCTTGATATGATTATGAGCAGTAATAATTTGTGCTTGACACGTAGTTATCGGTAAATATTACTGTATAACAACACTGTGTGATTTATCAAAATAAAATTTTTATCTATAATGGAGTTATACTCTATCACATTGTCCAGGTTTTATATGAATAGGTCCTTTGATTTGCTTTCTTTATATAGCAGTACTATTAAGGCTTGAGATACTTTATTACTTACACTATTTTCGTCACTACTTTTATTTTTCTCATGGATCTTCATGTCTTTTTGAATAGATTCTGATGGACAGTTGTTCACTTGTAATGACTTTTGTTCTTTTTAGAAGTTAATTGGCAGATGGTGACTAGCAGTGGAATTCAGGATAACGCGCATTTCGTCATATTTAGGACTCGTCAACCACCTGGATGTATCTGCATTCCCTAGCGAGTGATCATGTTCCCACCGAAGCTCGATCCCAGTTCCCATAGTTTCAAACGCGAAAGCGTTATCCCTTAGACCACTCGGGCCATGAGAGCCACCTCTATTGCAACGGATCATCCAGTTGACGAGTCCCAAAAATAGGACGAAATGCGCATTATCCTGGATTCCACTGCTTGACACCCTACACCAATTAAATTTTAATTACATGCCCAGACATCGTCGAAGCATCTGCACAAGAAGCCGACATGTCAACCAGATACCTAGTACTTCGGTCCAATCAATCGATGGGAAAATGTAAATTTTTTTATATTTTTTTTTGGTAACATCTTGATTCCACACTGTTTTTGGTACAAGTATGGAATTTTCAGCGTGGATATCGGTAGCCTAAATTTCGCAGGCCGACCATAGATATCTGGTGTGCGCCGGTGCGGGCTCGAACCCCGGACCATGTGCATGGTCGTCGAGAGTCCTAACCACTGTGCCACCGACGCACGTGTTTGTTTGGTTTCATGATCTAAATCTCTCGACTTACTAGTTGGATTTTTAGCTGTCTATCTTTCTGTCTGTTTTCGACATATAACATTGCACTGATGTGCGGCAGTTCGAGTCGCCATACTCCACTCCATGTATCACACAAAGCAAGAGAAGAAAGTAGAAGAAATCCATGATAGAGACAGTAAACAGAAATGTGAGACAAAGGAATAGTAATAACGAAGAATAATATAGTTTTATTGGAAATCATAAGTCACAAGGAGTGGATGCATCTGCGCCGACCATTGAGACTGGTTACTTTGAACCATATCACCAACTGTTTCCAGCCTTCATTGATGTTTACCGTCGCGATGACCCCAACCAGGAAGTCTATACCTTCATACGTGGCCAGATTAAACTAACTATTGTGGATTTCATTGACTTGTGAAGCCATGTTTTGGTTTGACCGCCGCTACCTCTTTTCCAGCCTGACCCTATGTCAGCTAACATTGACCGTCGAGGAAGGCGATATTTTGCTAGGCATGCGTAACACATGTCCTAACCATTTCAGTCGATATAGCTTCACAACCTCGTCGATTGATTTCCCCTCCCCCCCCACCTAGCACTCGACGCCTAACCTCAATATTGCTCATCCTATTATACCTCTTCATACGGGAGATAGAGCGCAGACACCTATGATCAAATAAAGCTCTCCAGGCTTTTCATGACTTTCAATCTCTATGGCCACGTCTCACAGCGAGCCATAAAGGAGGAAGGAGCGGACTGCTAAGCATTACACATGGCCTTTGGTTGACTGTCAGCCAGAGATCACATCTACTTACTAAGTCAGAGACGGCGTAAACTGGAATATGCGAAACTAGCCCTTTGTATCCGTACTAAGATTTCGTCAACGATCAACCCGTTAGACTGGCTGGCTGATGCAACTTCCCAAATCAGTAAAGTGGTCAACACGCTTTACCAACCACTTCACTCCCTATTTCTAAGCTAGGAGTCAATCTAGTCCAGTGCACTCTTGTAACATCATCATACATTTGGCGGGAGCAGGTGAATCGCATACCAAACATTCGTAGATTGCATCTCAAGGTGGTGATATTAGGCAGAGATAACCTTGTCTTAACTTCATGTCATCTATGTATATACGCTTTTTTTTTAAAACTAATTAAGGTATATGTATATATTACTTCTTCTTACAGGTCACTGAAGAGATTTGGAGAAAGACGAAGGAGATTTACGTATAACCTTCTGAAGAATTACACACATTTTTTAAAATTCTATATATATGCCAACTAGACAACATTGGACATCTACTGATCTCTTTCATTATATAAAAACAAATGGATAAGAAGAAACTTGACTTTTACTTCTCTCTACTTGAATCAAGTGTCCTTTGTTATCAGGTATGTCTTTGTCATTAAAATGCTCACTATCTGCCTCTCTCCCACTCTCTCATTGTTATAGCATCCGATAACTGGATTAATACCCTCCTCCCCGAATAGTACACATGCATGGGTACGGGATAATGCCTATGCTTCATTATCTATCTGGGGTCTTTCATTAGCCTATCGAAAACTGCCGGATGTCGACGAAGATCGTTGTCGAAGTTATGAGTTAGAAAAGGTATTTGTACTTTTATTATATATATATATATACATACTACTTAATTCAATCCATTTCATCATCATCATCATCAATTAATTAATTAATTAATTAATTTAGTGTGCTGTCAAATTAATGCGTGGCATCCTGATATGTTATATGAAACAATCGAATAAAGTCGAATTGTTGAAAAAAACTCAAAACCCATTGCATTCTTTACATGCAAAATTTGATAGTACCTCGTATAAAACAGTTGTTGGTGATAGTGAATGGGGTCATTTACAAATTGATGCAATTTCATTATTTCTCCTTATCCTGGCACAAATGACAGCAGCTGGTAAGTCAATGTATTTGTTTTTTTTTCTACTAGCTTGTTTTGTATTCTTGCCTTTTTAGGTTTAAGAATTATTTGGACACTTGAAGAAGTAGCCTTTATACAGAATTTGGTTTTCTGTATTGAACATGCTTATCGTATTCCTGTAAGGCAATATATTTATATATATATATATAATTATTTTATTTTAATTAAAAAAATTTCTCAGGATTATGGAATTTGGGAACGTGGAGATAAAACTAATCATGGATTACCAGAATTGAATACAACATCTGTGGGAATGGCTAAAGTAGGTTCATTTATCATCATCACACAAGCGTCTTTATCGGCGAAAAATTTCATTTTTCTGTCATCTTTGCAATCTTTTTTCTTTTTACTCCTATCCATTCCTAGTGGAATACAGAGGAGGACCTTCAACGTAGAGACAGCTTGAAGCTTCTGTAGGACTGAGGATTATTATTTTACAGAATGAGGTTTTTAACATCAAACGCCGAATAACCTTCCTCTTTAATATGTCCTATTACTACTCGTTTAAGCAGTAAAAGGCGTACCTTCGTAACCCAAGATCCATAAGACGAATACCTGCCTGGTCGACCAGCATTCTACTTCTCAGCTACCGACGTATGCTTGTCATCGATTCATATTGCTCCTGTCGAAATAGTGTGAAAGTCTGTGAATCGGTGTGCCTTGGCGAACATTCCTGTGTATCTTATATGAGGTGTGTCAGTAGTTGTGGCTGACGCCGACGCCATGAGATAGACTGATCTCGTGGTCCAAAGTTTAGCCTATATTGTGTATGGTGTGTGTTGGTCGCGGGATAGGACTTTGTGCCTGTCTGGCATCACCCAGTTCACCTAGAGGAGTTTTGTGTTGTATTTTTGGGTGAGAATGTTTTGTGGGTGATAAGTCGCTTGTCAAACTGACCGTAGATGAATGAATTGTCGCGCCTTCATGAGGTTGTAATTGTGAAGCAGTTGTGTGCTTGAGACATGCTGTTTCGGAATGAAGGCGTAGATTAAGTGTTGTGGGTCTGTTGGTTTGCGGCTGTGAAGCGAGACAGTCGTATGTCGTCGGACCGGACATTGAATGGAATGTGTGGTGTCGAGTGGAGTGTATGTTGTTTGTGTATTTGTCGGGAGCGATTTGTGAATGTTGATGATGGCGACGATCATGATGTTGATGATGTTGTGTGGTTGATGTTTGTTTTGTGGAGTGATGATGAGGATGTATGGAAGGTGATTTTGAGAAGTGAATTGTTTCGGAGGCGTATAGGTGTGTTTGTGTTTGTGTGTGTGTGTGTCTGTGTTTGCGTGTTTGTGTGTGTAATGGTGAGTATTGACTGACAGACTGACCGACTGACAGAGTGAGTGGGTGGGATATGGATGTTTCGGTGCCTTGATGGTTATTGTTGTTTCTGTGGTTGGTGTTGAGGCGCATGGGTTTCGTTGTGCAGATATATGTGGAATGCTGTCGAAATATTGTGAAAGTATTTAGATGATTGTGTATGGAATGTTGTGATGTGTGTAGGTTGTTGTGGCTGACGCCGACGCCATGAGATAGACTGATCTCGTGGTCCAAAGTTTAGCCTATATTGTGTATGGTGTGTGTTGGTCGCGGGATAGGACTTTGTGCCTGTCTGGCATCACCCAGTTCACCTAGAGGAGTTTTGTGTTGTATTTTTGGGTGAGAATGTTTTGTGGGTGATAAGTCGCTTGTCAAACTGACCGTAGATGAATGAATTGTCGCGCCTTCATGAGGTTGTAATTGTGAAGCAGTTGTGTGCTTGAGACATGCTGTTTCGGAATGAAGGCGTAGATTAAGTGTTGTGGGTCTGTTGGTTTGCGGCTGTGAAGCGAGACAGTCGTATGTCGTCGGACCGGACATTGAATGGAATGTGTGGTGTCGAGTGGAGTGTATGTTGTTTGTGTATTTGTCGGGAGCGATTTGTGAATGTTGATGATGGCGACGATCATGATGTTGATGATGTTGTGTGGTTGATGTTTGTTTTGTGGAGTGATGATGAGGATGTATGGAAGGTGATTTTGAGAAGTGAATTGTTTCGGAGGCGTATAGGTGTGTTTGTGTTTGTGTGTGTGTGTGTGTATCTGTGTTTGCGTGTTTGTGTGTGTAATGGTGAGTATTGACTGACAGACTGACCGACTGACAGAGTGAGTGGGTGGGATATGGATGTTTCGGTGCCTTGATGGTTATTGTTGTTTCTGTGGTTGGTGTTGAGGCGCATGGGTTTCGTTGTGCAGGTATATGTGGAATGCTGTCGAAATATTGTGAAAGTATTTAGATGATTGTGTATGGAATGTTGTGATGTGTGTAGGTTGTTGTGGCTGACGCCGAAGCCATGAGATAGACTGATCTCGTGGTCCAAAGTTTAGCCTATATTGTGTATGGTGTGTGTTGGTCGCGGGATAGGACTTTGTGCCTGTCTGGCATCACCCAGTTCACCTAGAGGAGTTTTGTGTTGTATTTTTGGGTGAGAATGTTTTGTGGGTGATAAGTCGCTTGTCAAACTGACCGTAGATGAATGAATTGTCGCGCCTTCATGAGGTTGTAATTGTGAAGCAGTTGTGTGCTTGAGACATGCTGTTTCGGAATGAAGGCGTAGATTAAGTGTTGTGGGTCTGTTGGTTTGCGGCTGTGAAGCGAGACAGTCGTATGTCGTCGGACCGGACATTGAATGGAATGTGTGGTGTCGAGTGGAGTGTATGTTGTTTGTGTATTTGTCGGGAGCGATTTGTGAATGTTGATGATGGCGACGATCATGATGTTGATGATGTTGTGTGGTTGATGTTTGTTTTGTGGAGTGATGATGAGGATGTATGGAAGGTGATTTTGAGAAGTGAATCGTTTCGGAGGCGTATAGGTGTGTTTGTGTGTGTGAGTGTATCTGTGTTTGCGTGTTTGTGTGTGTGTGTATCTGTGTTTGCGTGTTTGTGTGTGTAATGGTGAGTATTGACTGACAGAGTGAGTGGGTGGGATATGGATGTTTCGGTGCCTTGATGGTTATTGTTGTTTCTGTGGTTGGTGTTGAGGCGCATGGGTTTCGTTGTGCAGATATACGTGGAATGCTGTCGAAATATTGTGAAAGTATTTAGATGATTGTGTATGGAATGTTGTGATGTGTGTAGGTTGTTGTGGCTGACGCCGAAGCCATGAGATAGACTGATCTCGTGGTCCAAAGTTTAGCCTATATTGTGTATGGTGTGTGTTGGTCGCGGGATAGGACTTTGTGCCTGTCTGGCATCACCCAGTTCACCTAGAGGAGTTTTGTGTTGTATTTTTGGGTGAGAATGTTTTGTGGGTGATAAGTCGCTTGTCAAACTGACCGTAGATGAATGAATTGTCGCGCCTTCATGAGGTTGTAATTGTGAAGCAGTTGTGTGCTTGAGACATGCTGTTTCGGAATGAAGGCGTAGATTAAGTGTTGTGGGTCTGTTGGTTTGCGGCTGTGAAGCGAGACAGTCGTATGTCGTCGGACCGGACATTGAATGGAATGTGTGGTGTCGAGTGGAGTGTATGTTGTTTGTGTATTTGTCGGGAGCGATTTGTGAATGTTGATGATGGCGACGATCATGATGTTGATGATGTTGTGTGGTTGATGTTTGTTTTGTGGAGTGATGATGAGGATGTATGGAAGGTGATTTTGAGAAGTGAATCGTTTCGGAGGCGTATAGGTGTGTTTGTGTTTGTGTGTGTGTGTGTATCTGTGTTTGCGTGTTTGTGTGTGTAATGGTGAGTATTGACTGACAGACTGACCGACTGACAGAGTGAGTGGGTGGGATATGGATGTTTCGGTGCCTTGATGGTTATTGTTGTTTCTGTGGTTGGTGTTGAGGCGCATGGGTTTCGTTGTGCAGATATATGTGGAATGCTGTCGAAATATTGTGAAAGTATTTAGATGATTGTGTATGGAATGTTGTGATGTGTGTAGGTTGTTGTGGCTGACGCCGAAGCCATGAGATAGACTGATCTCGTGGTCCAAAGTTTAGCCTATATTGTGTATGGTGTGTGTTGGTCGCGGGATAGGACTTTGTGCCTGTCTGGCATCACCCAGTTCACCTAGAGGAGTTTTGTGTTGTATTTTTGGGTGAGAATGTTTTGTGGGTGATAAGTCGCTTGTCAAACTGACCGTAGATGAATGAATTGTCGCGCCTTCATGAGGTTGTAATTGTGAAGCAGTTGTGTGCTTGAGACATGCTGTTTCGGAATGAAGGCGTAGATTAAGTGTTGTGGGTCTGTTGGTTTGCGGCTGTGAAGCGAGACAGTCGTATGTCGTCGGACCGGACATTGAATGGAATGTGTGGTGTCGAGTGGAGTGTATGTTGTTTGTGTATTTGTCGGGAGCGATTTGTGAATGTTGATGATGGCGAAGATCATGATGTTGATGATGTTGTGTGGTTGATGTTTGTTTTGTGGAGTGATGATGAGGATGTATGGAAGGTGATTTTGAGAAGTGAATCGTTTCGGAGGCGTATAGGTGTGTTTGTGTGTGTGAGTGTATCTGTGTTTGCGTGTTTGTGTGTGTGTGTATCTGTGTTTGCGTGTTTGTGTGTGTAATGGTGAGTATTGACTGACAGACTGACCGACTGACAGAGTGAGTGGGTGGGATATGGATGTTTCGGTGCCTTGATGGTTATTGTTGTTTCTGTGGTTGGTGTTGAGGCGCATGGGTTTCGTTGTGCAGATATATGTGGAATGCTGTCGAAATATTGTGAAAGTATTTAGATGATTGTGTATGGAATGTTGTGATGTGTGTAGGTTGTTGTGGCTGACGCCGACGCCATGAGATAGACTGATCTCGTGGTCCAAAGTTTAGCCTATATTGTGTATGGTGTGTGTTGGTCGCGGGATAGGACTTTGTGCCTGTCTGGCATCACCCAGTTCACCTAGAGGAGTTTTGTGTTGTATTTTTGGGTGAGAATGTTTTGTGGGTGATAAGTCGCTTGTCAAACTGACCGTAGATGAATGAATTGTCGCGCCTTCATGAGGTTGTAATTGTGAAGCAGTTGTGTGCTTGAGACATGCTGTTTCGGAATGAAGGCGTAGATTAAGTGTTGTGGGTCTGTTGGTTTGCGGCTGTGAAGCGAGACAGTCGTATGTCGTCGGACCGGACATTGAATGGAATGTGTGGTGTCGAGTGGAGTGTATGTTGTTTGTGTATTTGTCGGGAGCGATTTGTGAATGTTGATGATGGCGACGATCATGATGTTGATGATGTTGTGTGGTTGATGTTTGTTTTGTGGAGTGATGATGAGGATGTATGGAAGGTGATTT